TGATGGAAATCATGATGGTTGGATAGCAATGATAGTGATGATGATGATTGAGACAAATGATAATGGAGTGATGAAGATGGTAATGATGGTGTTGATTACAGTCATGATAACTTCATGTTTACTCATTGGGCATGTCTGAACTTACCACCCAACCACAGATGGGGAAACTTAAGCACAAGTACAGTAGGGTGAAGAAACCAGGAAAATCCTGGCTCCATGAGTCTGAAAGCACATCATTAGATCTTTGTGTTTTGTGGCTGAGGGAACCACTTTCCTGCTTACTCTCATCCCGCTTTTCCTGTCTCAGTTCTAGCAGGTGTCAAGTGAAGTACATGTTGCTTGCTCAACAGGGTCTTGTTCACTGCAGACTTGTCTAGACCTTGGCAGCACTATTGGCCTGGTCCCTAGAAGAGACTCAGGAATACTTAAGTGAATGAAAGAACAGGGAGCATGCAGAAGTGCAAGGACCTCATCCTGTGTGCTCCTCCCATGGTATATATTGAGGTAGGGCTGGTGTCTGAATGAAGATAACTCTGTCTCCACTGTCACTGTTCATAGTGATTGAGTTTAACCTCTGTTGTCTGGGCAATGCTCAAGATCATTCTGGGACCTGGTTCTCCATGGTGTCATTCACCATCCCTGTTCAGGTATGGAATCCTGAAGCATCTCTGAGGTTCCACCTGTGGTAAGCATAAGCATCTGCAAGGACCTTACCCCCCCCACACACACACACACATACACAGTAACAGGTATGTGCTGAAGTATTCTGTGTGTGCCTCAAAGCTTTGTGCTGCTTCATTATACTTCAGACTGCCTGAGCTTGGTCTATGTGCTTTGTACATAGTCCCATCCTGTTCCAGCAGAGACGGTTCACACTGGTGAGTTTTGGTTCTTAGTGCCATGTGGTCCAGGTACAGCCTGGGACTGAGAAGTTTCCTAAATCTGATCTAATGGGCCATCCATCTATGTTGGCTCACGCTCTGCTTACAAAGCTAGGCTTTATTGGGGGGCAGTTCAAGAATCTTGATTCTGGATATCTGGAGTGAAAATAGCCCAGGTCTCTTACTGAGTATCTGGAGCTACTGGTATAAACTCGTGGTGGTGTGGTTCAGGGAACAAACAGGTTGGAATGCCCAGTCCACCAGATTCCAGGATATATCCAACCTCTGCCCATAATCAGTGGTAATTTGGGTGGCAAGTCAGAGAAGGGAAGGACTACATAGGGTGGGTCCACAGACATCTCTGGGACAGCTTGACAAGACATGCCTAAAGTGGCTGTGAACCAAAGATGGAGCCTAGCTCCTGGGGGAGTGCTGTCACATGAGAGAGTACAGTGTGCTCCTGTCCTGCTGTTTCTATGCTGGAAAGGCCTATCCCTTCCATCAGAGCCTTAGTGGAAAGGGTATGCATGTGTATGGAAGGGTCATGTCTAAGTCATGTCTTACTCTCATCTCCAGCACAGATGATAACCCTATCTTATCTCCCTTTTGAAGGCTTTCTGGGTGGTAGTGACTGCCTTGAGATCAGGCTGTGGCAGACAGGAAGTGTAGAGCTTGGAAGGGCAAGTGTGTTGCTACTATTAACCTCTGTTGCTGTTACATTTTTGGCTGATGCTGTGTACCTAAAGAGAGCTAGGGAAGTATGTACCTAAGCTCTGAAGGAATAGGAACAGCTGTGAGGGTGTAGGTGGCGAGAGGTACCTGCCTGTGCAAATGGGTCCTTTTCATCCTCCCTTTGAAACAACTTCCACCTGGGCAGCACTACTATGGTTCAGCTTCCAAGGAAGCCTAGGCCTGCTCATTTGACTCACCAGGAATTCCCAGGTAGCCATGGGGATACTGGTTTATCCTTCGAGTCAAGCTGAGGAGAGCATGCTGTCTAGTAAACTCTGATGCTAAGGAGGAGCCTAGGCCTCTGCTGGTGACAAGAGTCCAGGAACCTCTGTCAGGTGGAGACAGAATCCAGGTGAGGTAAAGGTAGGAATAGGCAGGCCTGGGCTGGGTAGAGACCCTGTATCCTGGACTCCCATGACTCTTTGTGCCCATGGGAGCTGCTGCAGATGAAGCTCCATTATGGAAAGTTGGCCTTGTGCACCATATGGGCTGGGCATAGTCTGGGGCTGGGAAGCATCCCAAACCTGGGAGGGTACGTGTGTGTGCACTTGAAAAGATCCTACCCCAGTCTTGCTTTCTCTTGGATAGGGTCACCATGCTAAATCAGACCCTCGTTCCTCCTTCCTGCCAATTGAAGCTCTTACCATCTTTCATTTCCCTAACAAGCTATGGCAACAGCACTTTACCATTTTACTTTTCCTTCTGAAGCATCTCTGCCTGCCCTGCACCCCACTCCCACCCCCAACACCAGGAGTGGAGGTTGGGATGCTAAGGGGCAGAGAGGTTAGAGCCTGGTCTTCACTCAGCACTGGATAGAGACTCCCAGAATCGTGAACCTCAGGGAGAGAAGTATGAGGCTCCTAGATACTGCCACATGAGGTGCCATGACTAGGAGATGAGATCAGGAAGAGCCCAGGAGATGGAAGTATGGAGAGAGGAAGCTGTATTCTGAAACATCTCAAGTCTCAATAGGCCAAAAAGGCCAGAAGTGACATGATGACCTCCGGGGAGAATTAGGGTTTTCCAAAGAAGCTATGAGGTGGCTGCTCCAGTACAGGAGCTCTGCTGGGCTTCACTTGGAGTGGAGATGTGCTCACTTTTGAATACTTCAGTCATGTATCTCCTTTATGTAGTCCCTGTAATGAAGAGGGCCCAGGACTCAGGGGTGGGGGTGGAGTGAATACTATGAGCCCTCTGTCCAAGCTTGCTGTTGATCAGGTTGGCACCCAATAAGCCATATGCTGAGTCTTGGCTTCTAAGTGGACCAGGCAATCTGTGTGTAGGGATGAGTGTGTTCTAGGATGAGCAGAGGGATGGACATCCAAGCTTGGCCACAAAGGACTAGGTACAAAGCACAGTGGGAATAGGCTACTGGCCCTGAGAGTCTCTGAGCAATGCTGGCACTCAGCCCGCATGGATAGAGCTGAGCTGGTTCCTAAGTCATTTGTATGGGGCCTGCCCACACCTCAGCAGACAGTGCTGCATCCTGGGCACAGTGAAGTCTGAAAGATGACCTTCCTACTGAATGTCCTATGTCTGTTGTCCATTCCCAGTTCAGTTCTGTGCCGCTGAACTGGAGCCCCTGTCCTCTACTGACAGTGCTCCTTGAGCTTCTCAGTGTCCAGGGCAGCTTACTCTCCAGCTTTCCTCCCTCACCCCCTCCCCATCCCAATCTCTGCTCACAGCCCAGGTCACCATGGTCAGGAGCCCAGTCTCCAGGAAGGGCAGTGGCCCAAGAATGGACCTCCAGCTCCAGAAGAGAGGCAAGGGAAATCTGAGAAAATAGCTAGGCTGTAGGGTTTAGAGCAGCTTCAACAGAGCTCAGGCTGGACAAGGGACACATTTTTTGTGCCCCCCAGGAATCCTTATACTAGGGGACTGCTGCCTCTACCAATTCTTTCAGCAGTGCCTTGGATTCATTCACTTTGGGGCCCTACTCCTTGGAGCCAGAGCTGACCAATCTCCACCCACTTCTGAGAGAGGAAGGAAAAAGAGACATCAAGCTCAAGGTCAGTGCTGTGGTCAGACCAAAGCTTGCTGGTACCCCTTCCCCACCCTCCAATGGGTGGAGGTTCTGTGAAGGCTCTGCTTTGGGGGTGGGATGCAAAAGCACTAGTGGTCTATGACCGTGTGGAAGTATGAATCTCTCCAGAGAGTACTGAGGCAGGTTCTCTGTGGTGTCTCTTTGTGCTCCATGTGGGTCCTTTTGTCTGCTACCTGAATAGGACTTGGGACTAGGAGAATTTGGGGTGACCAATACTGGCTCAGGGTCAGAGCCAGCAAAGGGGCTCATACTCACCCTGTGAAGACGAAAAGCAGGTCTGGAGATTGCCTGAGGAGATGTGGGTGCAGAGGTTGTGACCTCCTCTACTGACAATCACCCTAGGTCAGCAGCTCTCAACCTGAGCATTGCAACCCCTTTAGCAAGCCTCTATTTCCAAAAATATTTGCATAACAGTAACAAAATTACAGTTACGAAGTAGCAACGAAAATAATTTTGTGTCTGGGACTCACTACAACATGAGGAACTGTATTAAAGGGTCGCAGCATTAGGAAGGTTGAGAACCATTGCCCTAGGTAATAGTGCCTGTAACCTTGGGAACTGGGAACCATGCTGGGATGAGACATGCCAGTGCAGAGTCTCATACCAGGACGCCAGCAGGTGGCGCTGGCTTCCGAGGACGTGTGTGTGGGGGGGAATGCCTGCAGCAGACCTGAGTGGGTGTCACTGCGGCTGCAGATGGTGGTGGGGGAGGGAGGAGGAGGATTTGTCATTTTCTCCCTAGGCTGCAGAGCCTCACGTGCCTCGCGTCCCGCATAGCTGGAGAGAGGTTTGGGGGCGGGCTGCGGTCCAGTTTATCCACCCAGATTTAGACATTGGTGCAAATGCAGATCTCCCACTTCCACAGCGCGAACCTCAGCCCAAGGTGCAGAGGTTGCTTCAGAATCTCAGGGGGCATAGTCTCCACCCTGTGCCCCCCAACTGGAGTGGCTAGGGGACAGACTGCAGTGACCTCAGACCCTACCCCACCTTTCCCAGGTTGCCGCGGCAACTGTTCAGGGCCCCCTGGGTGGGAACAGTGGCTCTCAGGACATCCCTTCGTCCCACGCGCATCAGCGCCCTGCCTCTTTTGGTGGCTCCACCGCCAGCACCGCGGACAGCGCCCAGGACTGCCCGTGGGTATCCGGGCACGCCAACTCAACCTGAGAGGCTGCACGCTTCCCTCCCAAGCCCCTTAACCCGCTGCTCCCCCGGCCCCTCCCTTTGTCTCCTGGCCCTCGTCCCCCTCTTCGGGATCTCGAGCACTCAGAGCTGCGGACACACGTGGTCAGGGGCTGGGTGGCCACAGTCTCCCCCGCGGTCGCCCCCACCCTCCCCGTGACGTCCTAGGCATGCGGGCCCCTTTGTGTCCTGCGGCCAGATCCCCGGCCCGGCAGCTGGGCCGCCCTCTGGGCGGGCGCATTGTTCGCCGGATTTGTCCGCGGAGCGAGGGGCCGCCGGGGGCCGGGGCTCGCCTTTTTCCCGCGGGAGGGGCGCCGCGCCGGCCGGGCTCGCGGGCTATTTCCATGAGAAAGGAGCGGCGGAGGCGCCTCTCTTGGCATTCACCGCGTGCCTTAATTGTATAGACATTAAATCAAGGTCCGCTGTGAACACGCAGAGGGGCCCTCAGGGCTGCGGCGGGCGGCGAGCGGCTGGGCCAGGTCGGGGCCGGGGCTGCGGCTTGCGTGGGGTCCTAGCCTGAGGGGCGCGAACGCTCCAGCTTCTTCGCGGCGGGGCGGGCGGGGCGGGGCTCCGCGCTAAGCTGGCAGTGCAGCCCTGGTCCGCCCCCAACTCCGAGGAGCCCTCTCTCCTTCCCCTCCCCGAGGTAGAGAAGGGCCTAGGCAAATCCCTTGAGGCGTCCCTGCAGCAGGGACCCCTCGGAACCGCAGCGAGAGAGATGCAGGAGCCGGCCGGGGTGAGCGTGCCCATGCTCCGGCCTTCCGCGGTCTTCTGAGGGGTGCAGAGCCCGCTCCACCCCGGCGGCGCAAACCTCTCCGCAGCTGCCCTTCCCTGGCTTATCTTCCGGACCCCACTAGGAGCGCGTGAATGCGGTGAAAATAAAGAACCTCGATGTTCGGAGATGAAAAGCAGTCTCTTTTTTACAACCCGCTGAGCTCTCTTCCCTTGCGGCTCAGACCGGCTAGAAGCTGCTCGAGGAGAGAAAGACGGAGTGACCCGAGAGGCCGCTTGCCGGCTCGCCCCGGCCGGGGCCGCCAGCGCAGTTACCCGTCCGGGCGCGAGCCGCCGCCGCCGCCTGCTGCTCGTCGGCTGCCGTCGCCTCCGCTCCGCAGCACCGCCCGCGCTGTCGCCCGCTCCCGCCTCCGCCTCCTCCTTGGCGCCCGCAGGACCCGTACGCCACGGCCCGGGGTGGAGGAGAGCGCAGGGACATCGCCAAGGAAGCCGGGCAAATTCCCGAGGGCCGGCTGGGAGCCCAGCGTCCGCGAGGTCGGCACTGCGGGAGTCCGACTCCCACTCTCCTGGCCCAGCCCGGGTGCAACCGTCCCCGCGCTCGCCGCTGCCGCCGCTGCCTCCGCTCGTATCCGCGCTCGGCTCCGGCACCGGGCGATTATCACTGGGGCGCGCGGTGACGTCACCCGGACACCGGCTCTGCCGCCTCCTCTCGGAGGTGTCCTTGAGAACTGAGGGGCACGCGCCCCGCGTACACGCGCACTCACGCACCGCGCGACCGGTGCCTCCCGCGCACACGCTCGGCGTCCCGCTCGGCGCGCTCCTCGACTCATGGACGCAGCCCTCGAACACCTTCGATTGTGCCCGGCGCCCGGCGGTCACACGTATGCGGAGAAACCGCCTCTCCTACACTCTCGAACCGCTCATACTGTCCTGCCGCACCACCCACGCAAAAGCTTCTCCCGCAGCCCACCGACCGCAGCTCTTTGACACCCACCAGCCACACCCCGCTGTGCAGCGAACACACTATGCCTGCCTTACACCAGCGGCGGGTCCTTCCAGAATAACCAACCTCTCAACACAGTGGCTCCAGCGCCCCTCTCTGCTGGGGGAAAGAAAGGGGTCCCAGCCTCCTGCTGACGGCCTTATATGGAGGAGAGAGTTAGACGTCTCACCCAACCCCCATCAGAGACTGCTCCCCTCTTTCACCCTTTCCTAGCTGGGTAGGGAGTCCTTGCCTACAGCGATGGGAGCACAGTCCACACTTCACAGCTGATTGCAATCGGATCTACTCCTTGCAGCCTATTGAAGGGTGGCTATTCTGATCTGGTGGTCCTTTAGGACTAGGGATCAGCGGCTTTCCCCAAACGCCACTCCAGGCCTCCCAAGCGGCCTTTGTTCCTGGTGCAGACTGGAGGAACCGCACAGAAGCAGGCAGGCCTCTGGCCCCTATTTTTCCTCCCTGGGCCAACCCAACCTTTGAGCCATCTGCCCTCTAGCAAAAGCTAGGTGACCCAGGATAAAGATTCTGCCGTCCTTCCTTTCCAACCTTCTCCAGCCCTGCGGGAACTCCGAAGACACTCCGCTGGGAAGGAGGTGATCTGGAGATCTCATGTTACTCCTGGAAGATCCTCAGAGGGTCGAGACACCTCTGCTCTTCCAGTCCACGATCTTTCCCTTTTCAGGTGTCAGACGCTACTGACGCTGGAGAATCCCCACTTACACAGCCAGCATAAGCCCACCCTTGCTTATGCCCAACCCCAAACCAAGGAAACTACCCACAGCCTGCCAGCACCGGTAGCCCCAGGGACACTGACTAGGGGCTCGAGACTGAAGGATCTAGACTCCCGAGCAGAGGCTGCTTCTCGTTAAGAGTCAGCTCCGCGTGACCAGCGGTCCCTCACCCTACAGGGTACTGGGGCAGGTCCCTAGGACCGTCCAAGATTCCGCAGCGCAGTCCAGGACCCCAAAGCTACAGGGTCTGCTGTCCATGGTGTTGAAGGCATAGCCTGCAGGAACCTCTTCTCATCTGCGGAATCTCGGTCCTCTCCCACTGAGGCGCTCCCAGGACCGCAGACCCTTTACCTTCCCTCAGCCCCACCCTCCGTTTTTTGCAATGGTTTAAGACATCTCGGCTTCTAGCCTGCCCAGAGCTTGTTTCTATTTGGAGGGCGCGCGGGGGATGGGATGGCACTCCCAAGAGCCTCGGGTTTAGGAGCGCGCTTGCTACGGGGCCGGCTCCGCACCGTGACTCCTCAAAGACCAGTTCCCTTCCCAAGCCAAGGACCTCCCCTTAGGCCTCCCCTTACTATTTATGGGAGATATTTACACCAGACCAGAGAGTGGTGCTTGGGGAGTCTGGAGCTGCACCCCTTCCAGGGGTCAGACCAAGTTTATTTTTCGCATCTCCGCCGAAACGTGCCTGAGCTTTTTCTCCTGGTACTTCTATGCGTTCAATCCGGAGCACCAGTTAGGACCCCTGGCTCTCTTTTTCCAATTCCCTGCGTCCTGCCTCCTGGCCTGGTGGGCTGGGGGAAGGGCTGTCCTAGGCGTGGGGGTGGAGCTGCCTGTGCGTTGAGAGAAGGAGAGCCCACCCCAAGCATTCCGCTGCCTGTTCTTCTTAGTCCTCCCGGTAGGGACCTTTTTGGTGACCCTGGAACCTTCAGAGGTTCCGTAAAAGTCAACTTACTGATGCTGGGCCTTGGCTCAGGTTTGTTCTCCCTTGGACTCCGTATGGCCCAGCCTCACCTCTTCACGATCCTTCTTTCCGGCGCAGCCGCCTCTCCCCAGCACACTGCAAATTTGTGTTTGTGGATTTATTTATTTGCTAGCTCCTGGGTACGTGGGGAAGAGGATGGGGCACGAAGGTGGGGCGACATAGTCCAGTTAGCTCAGGCTCCAGGTTCCAGGCCGCTGCTCCGCGCTCACAAAGGCCATGCGCGCCGCAGCCCGGCAACTTTGAGACGGGTCAGGTGGCTCAGGCAGGGTGGGGGCGGGAGGAGGAAGGGAAGGAATCAGGCTCGACCCCCTCCTTTCCCTCTTGCCCTCCATCCGCGAAAGTCTGCAGCAGCGTGGGATTAAACAGATCAACAGAAACCCGTGAAGAACCCCCTCCCTTTCCGCCCTTTCTTCTTCGTCACACCACCGCCCCCTCCTCTGCAGGAGGCTTGTCATTCCTCCAGAAAGGGGAGGTGCCTTGATCCACATCTGGGAACAGCTGGCCCACAGTCTCTTGACCCTTGATCCTACCCTGGCTTCGAGGGGAGGAGAAATGGGGGAAGAAGGCCTTCAGGCTGCCACAGCACCGACATCCAGCCCCCTTTGCATACATGGATGGCCTCGGGAGCGGGTGGTAGGACAGATGCAGGGCCCACAGTACAGATGTGGCCAGCAGAGGGAAGAAGGGATCAGCTTTGCAGGCCCCTTTGCACTCTTTAAATGGTCCATAGCGTCTCAGATCTAGCTTGATGGTCAAGGTAGCTTGAAGGCCTTCACCCAGGAATGTCACAGGCCTCAGCTTCTTCATACCCAGTGCAGGTGGCTTTAAACCTCTCTCCTGAGGGTAACTTGTCTCCTAATGTAGTTGGGGTTGAGAATGAAGCTCTCAAGGCAGGGCATATACTTGATACCCAAGGGGAAAGGCCCCTGAAGGCACCCCCTCCCCAGGAGCCTGGGAATACTTCACTGCCTGCTTTACCCTGCTATATCCGATAGTATAAATGTGAGTGACTCCCATACAACACTCAGATGTTATGCTCACTACCTGGAGATTCAGCTAACTCTGGCTGCCCCTAAGCTATGGTCTGGGTGAGGCCAATGGGGAAGGAAAGATCTGGCCTTGCTCCTCCTAGCCCTTTGTAAAGGTGGGGGGGCGGGACCCCCACCATGACTGAGTACTGAGGGCGGAGCCAGCCACCACAAAGACTGCAATTGTGAATGAGGCCTGGTGCACAATGGAACGGGCTGGGCCCTCCACATGGAAATGAGGCCAAAGCCCCTTTTTCTCCCTCCTCTGTCTGGCTTCTTCCTCCTTCTTCTCCTCCTCTTTGGTCTTAGAGAGCACCGTGGACAGAGCTCAAATGAAAACACTGGAAGTGAAACTCAGCTTGGTCCAGGGTCCCTCAGAAGCTCCACCAAGGCCTTCAACATTGCTTAGCCTTGGAAAGGCCAGGTAACAGCAGGCTGGGATGGGGGTGGGGAGGGAAGGAGGATTACAAACAGGGCTGTCCAGGGCAGGACAAAGAATGAGGGATCCAGGCTGATCTTCTGGCCTGTGGCGGCGGGAACAGGCCTTTTGTTCCTCAGGGTCCAGCCTTTTGGCTAGTGGAATATCCTTGGCTATGCTCTGATACTCCCGTGAATCCTGTGTTTCCAGGTGACCCCCTAGCCACCCACCAAGGCAAAGATGACAAAATCTGCCCCCCTTCAACTCTGTCCCTTTCAGAGTAAGTTTTGGCTCTTATGAAGAAATTTCTCTTTACCTCTAGGGCAAGCCTGAGACCCCAGGCAGAATGCTGTGGGAGGCTGGCTCTACTCTAGGGATCTTTTACTTTTTTAGTAAAAATTATTTATTTATTTATTTATTTATTTATTTATTTATTTATTTATTTATTTAGTGTTTGTATTGGGGAATAGAGAACACAGGGGAACTTGTAGGAATCAATTCTCTTACATTGTGTAGTATCAAACTCAGGCTTGGCACAAGTCCTCACCTGGTGAGCCATCTTACTTCCACTTAGGAACCTTGATGTCAATAAAAATCACCTGGGAGCTAGGATTCAGTACTGCTCCAATACTAACCAGAAGAAAGGGTCAAGTATCAGAGCAGGAACTTGGGGAGGATGCTTTCTGGTCTCCTTGGAGTTCCTCCAAGATCTACAGAGTCTTCTGATGGGCTTCATAGGCCCACTTCAGGTATGAAAAATTCCTGGCAGGGTTACCCCATTAGAGGTTCCTTCTTTTAGAACTTAGACCTCAGAACAGGCTCCTCCTGAAGAGCAAAGGCAAAGATTCCTGGGGCCCAAGGTGTCTTCTCCAATGGGACCCTATCCTTATCTGACTGCTCATCTTAGAGCCAGGCAGAGGAAAGATGCAATGAAGACATCCTAGGCCCAGGGCCCTTTACCCCCTTAGGTTCTCTGAGGCCCCGGACCTCGAGGCCCCACCAGAGGGAGCCCCTGCATGATACCTGCAATACTGAGTTAGCTTGACCTGGAATCTGACTGAGGGTTCTGAGCTGTGTCTTAGTTCAGGAGTAGTGGGGAGACAACAGTAAGAAGCCCTTGCTTGGGCTACAGGACTATCTTGTTAAGGTATGCCGTGAAAGGGCTTGCTCCAGCTGCTGCTTCTGTAACACATCTGGCTGTGTTTTCCCTCCCAGACAGCCTGCTACCCTCCCAAAGGATACCTGTTCTCCTTGGTCTCTACACACCTACACAGGCTCCGATAGCTGTGCTGGGCTGCTGTCCTCTCTGCAAAGGGTTCCCGGAAAGGTCCAGGGATTGCTGCCTGCCAGGGGGGCAGTAGCCCTTCCTTCCCTCTCTTGGGATATGCCAACCTTGCAAATTACCTACCTCAGGGTTGCCCATGCTGATTACCACAGTTCCCTGTGTTTTTCTGGTCTGGGTCTCTGGAAGGGGAGAGAAGAGAATGGAAGGGAAAGCCCTGGATAGCAGGGTAGGCTGCGAAGTGAACAAATGCCTTGGCTCCGCCTACTCCGGTTACAAGGAGGTTCAAGAACCCTGGCCAGTGGTGCAGAGGTCCACGTTATAATCATTGACTGAAGGAGGGTAGTGGAACTCGTCTGTGGTGAGTGCTCAGTCCTCTTATGTGGGGGGTCTGGGAAGGACAGGCTTGCCTAGGATCGCAGCATAGGCAGCGTTGCATAAAGACTTATACCCTGGGCAAGTATGGACAGAGAAACACTCAGAGACACTCTTTGACATCCCATGATCAGGCTAGAATGTGGGCAGAGGCAATTTGGCCTATTTGTTCATAATTGTGTTCATTTTAAGGTATTGTTCACTTAGGGCAAGTGGCAGTGGTGTTTCACTAATTGTAGAAATAAACTCTCTTTAAACACAGGTACTTAAATAAAAAAGAGTGGGTGGAAGAGATTTGAGGTCAACAGCAGGAGGCAGGTGTCTGTGGGTCAGGGACCCAGTGGTGTGGGAACAGCTTGCAAGGGGTTTCTGTGTCTCTATAGGGTCTCTCCACCTCTCCACCTCTACACAAAGGCTCCCATCAGCTATAGTATCTCACATTCTGATTTGTGACTTTTTTATACCATTTTTCCCCTGGAGGGTACTTGGAGGGCTCTATTGGATTTGGCCTTGGTATATCTAGAATGGGTGTAGTGGGGTGAGAGGTTGACCCTGGAGTTCTCCAGGACACTGGCCTTGTTATTGGAGGTTCCTCAGGTTGGACAGGGATGAGTGCAAAGAAGATGTGTTCCTGGTGGGAGACCTCTAGGAGAGTCTAGTGGTCCTTCGTAAGCTCTACAGAGGCTGGTTTGCAGAGATTCAAGGACAAGAGCCACTAGAGGATAGATAGTGATTCCTCAAGGACCTGGAATCTGTAGGGTGGAGGGACTGCTCTGAGAAGAACAGGCAGGCGGAGGTTTGGCAGCTGCATAGGTGCTCAATTCATAGTGTGTACTAAAAGCAGGCCCTGACCCTGGAGCTTTATGGGACCTGTTTTGATACAGGGAGGCAGGAGAGATGGACATATCTCTATAGACTGAAGGATATAATTTAGTGTGCCTTAGCCCAAGAAGGGCAGGAGTGTACTTACAGGGAATAACTCAGAGGAGCATTGTGCAGCGTTGAGCTCTGCCATCCCTGAAGAGAGATGCTGCAAGAGAAAGGATGAGGCCAGGCCAGGTCCTTGACTCTGGGAGACTTTCTTGCCAGAAGTCCAGGTGTCCTTCTTCTGTTTGCTCTTTTCTGAGTGTCTGCTTAGGTCCCCTGAGGCCCAGAAAGGAACCAATCCACCTGTCCATTCTGTGCTTGGCATCAATTCTGACCATGGGGACAGATGTGACCCTACATGGTGAGCAGACATGTTTGCACAAGGGCTTTGCAATACTCAGTTCAGAATATGGGACTCTTAGTCCCATCTCGGTCCCCAGAGCTGCTGCTCTTGAGCCCTGGAAATACTCCTTGTACCGGGTCAGCCTCAGTGCTGGGTACTGCAGCCAGGGGAATCTGGAGGCTCTGAAGGTGCAGTCGGACTTTACCTTCTGCGGGCAGCAGACACCAGCCACCCTTCTCTAGGAGTGTATGTCCTTGCCTCTGAAGAGGAATGGTTACTACAGGGTGCAGAGCTTAGAGCAAGGCAAAGAGGTGCCAGGTGCCATGAGTGTACCAGACCTCTGCCACACATTGGCACATATTGTCCCTGAATTCCCTGCTAGAGTCTGCCTAGATCTAAGGTGAGGAGGGCAGTTGTCTCAAGGCCCTGCCTAGCAGCCTCCTGTTTCCCTGATAGCTTCCAGCTCTCTCTGATAGACCCCAGCCCTCTTCGTGGGCAAATGACTACTGGTTCCAGGTGGGAGGCTTTCTTTGGGGACTGTGGGTCTCATGAAGCTGGAGCAGAAAATGCTACCTCGGAGCTGGAGCAGCCCCTTCCTGCCACTATAGGGTCTCACAGTATCTCAGGCTTCCTCTAGAAGTCTTGCCTTATAGAGGCCCAGTGACAGCTCTCTGTACATAGCTCGAAAGTGAAAATGCATCCTCCTCCATATTTCAGGGAGACTCATGTAAACCTGATGTGCAAGGGCTCTTCCCATTTCCCGACTCCTAAACCTCCCTCTAGCCCTCTTTCTACCCCTACGTGTATTCCCCGGCCCCTTTGTCTCCCCTTTGTCTCTGTCCCCTCTGCCCATGGATCTTTATGTTTTACTCTCTTCACCATTACTACTGAAAGGCCCAAGCTACAGGAACTGGACATTGGTCTCCAGGATTCTCCTCGGCCTCTCGGAGGGATATGTCTGTTCCCCCAGATAGGTCAACATCCTTCTGACTGTCCTGTGCCCTAACATCAGACAGACTGGAAATGTTTCCACCTTATCATCAACTGTTCTGACCCACAGTGTACTCCTCTAAGAAGTGGAAACAATAAAGCCTGCCTCCTGGGGCTTTCCAGTGAATTTAGGAGGATGAGGAAAAGGGACGCTGCCCACATCTGTGGAAGGGGATCTTAACAGGAGCACACGCTAGTGGCAATGCCAGTACCAAGGAGCTTGGCTTGCTAAGGATTCGTCTCTCCCACATTGAGGGGTGAGGCCTCCCTGAGAACACTGTTTTCCCCCAGACTTGGAAGAGGAGACTCCAAAGTGGGCTGGTGGCTGGTCCTCAAACCTAGATGCCAGCAGTCCCACCGTTCCAGGAGAAGGGGCCAAGGCAGTAAAAGCTGAGAAAGGGGCAGCATTTTCCTCTGGCTAGCCCCTCCTGGGGATACCAACTGACCCTGACTCCTCCCCCTGCGGAAATGAGCTGCCTGGACAAGAGGCTTTGGCCGGGGTGC